TTTATATACACAACATACTCCACACATTCATAGCAAATAAAACAAAAAAAAGTATGTAAGTAATATGGAAGAAAAATGGAAAAGTTAAAACTCCATAAGTATTCAAACACTGTGTTTTAGGAAACCTAAATTAATTTAGGTGCACAAAATTGTATCCCGTGACTAGTTGAGTAGTCTCTGTCTGAGTGTAAGAATAATTATTCACATGATTTCAGAATAAATACATATCTTTAAAAAACTCTCATTTATGTCAGACTTTCAGGCAAAGATTCAAACAAAAGGATCTTTTGATATAACTCAGGAATAAAGTTGTGTAGTCTAAAGGCACAGATCAAAAGAAGAGTACAAAACAATTTTAAAGACTTTTAATATTTATCCAAGCATTATGTGGATCACCAAGAAGTGGAAGCACCCAGACACTGCCTAGACCAGGTTGACCTCCAAATGGAACCTTCTGGCAAGGAGGAATTTGGTTAAGGATGTCATTGGGCCAAACGAAACTAAAAAGCACATGACAAATCATACATCGGCTGGAAAGCTAGGGTGGAGTTATTGCAAACATGGATGGAGCAAATTACTAGCAAATCTTAGAGAAAATCTGGTTTAGATCCAAAACTAGGAAAAAAGTTCACCTTTCAGCAGGACAATGATCCAAAGCACAAGCCCAAAACTACACTGGCTTAAGTGTAAGAAAGTAAATGTTCTCGTGTGCCCTAGTCAACGTCCTGTCTAGAATCCTATTGGGATTATGTGGCAAGTCTTAAAAACACACAGTACCTGCGAGGAGTAATAGGCACAAATTGTACAAAGCTAGTGTACAAAGCTGATAACCCAAAAAGACAAAGGTGCTTCCAGCAGGTATTGAGTATGTGGGTCTGAATACTTAAAAGATCAACATATTTTTTTTTATTCTCTTTAGCTTTTGCTGACATCAAATTATCTTACCCTTTGAGGACTTAAATTTGGTCATAAAGTATTAAATGTTCAGTTATAAAAAAATTGCATGCATCATTTAGGAAGGGTCTGAAAACATCTTCCAGGCATTAAACTTGGAATGTTGTCTATTTGCAGAAAACCAAAAGAATATCCTCCTGCAAAGTATTAAAGTAGATAATGTAAAAGAGTACCGATCAGTTTGATGTTTGAGCAAAATATACAGTGCTTATAAAAACCTTTTTGTCCTAATCCTAGTATTAAAACATATTTATGTATATATTATTGTCATATACACTGTATGTACAGATTCTACCCCACGACATCCAGGTGAAAAAAATATTCTAGTAATTCTTAGAAAAATAATTGAAAATAAATACTGAAATACATCAGGTGTAACCCTTTGTTCTGAATCCCATACCAAGTTAATTGGCCTCCACCTTTGTTAAATTGTAGTGATTCACATGATTTCAGAATAAATTCAGCAGTTCTTGTTGGTTTCCACTGCTATGTAGTGCATTTCAAAGCAATTACTCAACCAAGTATTTGAATACCAAGGAGCTTTAAAGAAAAAAACTGAGACAAAGAAGTAGGAAGGCACAGATCAAAAAACATTTCAAAGGCCTTGAATATTCCTTGGAGCGTGGTCAAGACCATTATTAAAAAGTGAATGTGCATAGAAACTGGCTGAGCAAGAAGAAGACTGATCAGAGAGTCCACCAAGAGGACAATGGCAGCTTTGACGGAGGGACAGGCTTTTATGGCCAAAGTGTACCGGTGACAGCCTAATCATTCCACAAATTTGGTCTATATTGCAGGGCAGCAAGAAGGAAATAATTGCTGAAAAAAACAGCTAAAAGGCATTTAAGCAATTCATTAAATATGTGGCAAAAAGTTATTATTGGCATACTCCCAACATAGCACATCAACCAAAGAACACCATCCCTAATGTGTTATGTGAATGTTTCTCATCAACAGGGACTAGGGCACTTATCAGGATAAAAGGTACAATGAATGGAGCAAAGTACAGGAAAGGTCTTGAGAAAAGACTTTTCAGCATGACATCAACCTGAAGCACACAACCACTGCTACACTGAATTGTACAAAGAGTTAAAAAGTAAATGTCTTTGAGTATCTCATTCAGAACATAGACCAAAATCCAATAAAAACTTTGTGCCATGCCTTGAATGCACTTGACAGAATCGAAACAGTTTTGTAACATTTGTAAAATAGAATGGTCAAATATTGCTAATTCACAGCTGTAATTGCTGCCAAAAGAGCTTCCAGCAAGTATTAACTCAGGGGAGTGAAGACTTATCCCATTTTGATGTATAACATTTATGTTGTTAATAAATATCTTTTGTCCCAGTGAAACATTTTTCACCATAAACGTCTGGTATATTGTGTGTAGGTAGAAGGAAAACATCCTCATTTAAATGCATGAAATTCTGAGGTACTAGAATGTTCTATAGGAGCTGTATAATTATTTGTAAAATAATTTATAATATAATTTAATGCTTATAAAGGAGTCAATATAACGTTAACCAAATGAAGCAACACCTAAGTGTAATGCACATTAAAGATAATACAACCAAAATTACAAACATCAACTTCTTTCTTGCAAGCCGTATGGATTGTTAATGGATGCTTTATATCAAGTATATCAAGTGTGTGAGGGAATATGTGAATACCTGGTTACTTACATTTTTAATGCAAAATTATATTATGTTCACTGGACCAACCCATGAATGTCAAATGAAATACATGAGTCAGAAAATCAAACAGATGCAAGACAAAATTGACGACCTGGAAAACAGTGGACAGCACAATAATCTGAACATCCTAGGCCTACTGGAGAACTCGGAGGGCTCCACACCACTTGCCAAAATTTTTCAATCAAAGCTACTGAAATAAATGGACCTTCCTTCAGGTAAAGGTTTAGACATTGAACAAGCCCACAGATCAATCTGTCCTTCTCCAAGCCCCAGCGACCGGCCTAGAACTGTGTTGTTGCGAATTCACTTTCCTGATAGAGAGGATGTCCTCCGGGTGCAACATCACTTGTAATGGTAGCTGGCTATTTTTCTACCAGGAACTCTTGGTCATGAGGAAATGATGGGAGTTTGACACGGTGAAGAAAACTCTTCTTGACCAGAATATATCCTGAGGATTTGCTTATCTGGCTGAACTACACTTTACTCATAATGGATAAAGTTACATTTATTCACATACTGACTGTTACTCTTTCATGCCTCTGACATGATCTCCACTCAAGATCTAAGCACTTTTGGAAGATTTGGTAACCACTTTGGACTTATATTTAAATTCATCTTTCTTAATTCAGATTTTTTTTTTCCTTCAAAGATTATTTAAGTACTGGAGGGCTGTGCAATTGTCTCCCTATATGCCATAAAACATCATTATGTAATTCATTTTCTTTTGTATAAATGGATGATTATTGTATCTTATTTTGAATGATGGTTATGCTGTAAACCGACTACTTTTTGTTATTGTTACTGCTGTTCCGGTAAACATTTGAAAGCAGATTGTTCCAATAGGGCAAACTATAGACTTGATAATATCTTGATCTGCAATATACATTTCAAGGAGAGTCATGCTTTTGGGGGTTGACAGGACTCTAAGGCTATAAAAATGCTACGTAACAATCAGGAAATGCCAGAATGTTAAAGAATTATAAGAAAGCCCATGACCTTCTTCATATCACTGAGTAAACAGTTTTCTAAACCATGTCATTTTCTTTTTGCTCTCAGTATCTTTACTTAATATACAAAGTTACTTAAATTAAAATACCTAAAGCTGTTTTTGCCTTTTATGCTCTAAGACACAGTTGAACAATAGCTGTGCCTCATAACGTAAGTACTTAACAATCTTCAAATAATTTTCCATTGCTCACTGAGGAAACCGGGTGGTTTTTCTGCTGTGCTATAAGGGAACACTATAGATCTCTGCTTGCTTTCATTCCAGTTGAACTGTAACACTCCAGTGCTAACTGACTAGCAAGATCAAGTATGTTTTTTCATCTGCTTGGGTGTTTATTTAACTTGTTTCCTGGGTCAGTTCTGAATGTCAAAAAGCTTTACTTCAAGGATACTGGTTTTAAAAATGTTAGGTTACAGAACCTATCACAGCCTCTCCTCAAATTGCTTGCTACTTCTTCTGATTAAACAGCTCTTAATCAGTAATTAAGGAAAGTTCTGAAACTCAGAAGTTTCTGAGGGTGTGATAACCACACTTTTTCTAAAACAAATTTACAAACAAGATGAAAACAGAAAACTGAAATCAAATAGCCTGTATAAAATATTGTATTCTATAACTCTTATTATTCATTATTTGGTTGATGTTCTTATCCAAAGACTCTTACATTAGTACCCATTTATTCATCTGAATACATTCCTGCAGCAATCTTGGTGAAGTACTTCGCTCAAGAGTACAACAGGAGGATCTCACCTTGTATTTGAACCCATAACATCGAGTTATGAGTTCAGAACTCAAACCACTCCTGGCAATACAGCTATACAAATGACTGATTTTAAGCATGTTTTCTACACTGGGCACTTAATATGGTATTTAGATTGCACGATACTTCACACTGAAGATAAACATTCTTAAAAACATTTTCAATTATACCTAATAAATTCAAGGTATTTCATGGTAGCCATTTATTTTTTAACTTCAGATCATACACTGGTTACTATAATTCACAGATGCTTTTCTTTCCGTTAGCTCTAGCATGTCCTGGTTCAGGCTGCGTTTATTAGAATCTGTTTCCATTACTAAACACATCCTTGAGGTCAGAGGTACTTTTTTGCAAAGTACACGTGAGCTTCCTTTGCTTTAGGCTACAATTAAAAATCACTGTAGCAGCTAACATTATACTGCCACATGTTCTGGCTAGAAACACATTACAAGCCTTTTAGAGAATGATAGAGTCCAAGCTGTGCAGGTTAAGCTCTAATACCTTAATAAATATCCACAATTTTTTGTAGAAATTACAGTTTTGCAACTAAGAGTTCACAATAATCTGTTCTTGTTTTTGTTTTTTTCAGTGAAAAGTGATTAAGAACAGCTTGAAATGCCACCACCAGCTGGAGGTCCACCAACTATAACTCCACCTGATGGGGGTTGGGGTTGGGCTGTGGTATTTGGAGCCTTCATCTCCATTGGATTTTCCTATGCCTTTCCCAAAGCCATCACAGTCTTCTTCAAAGAGATCCAGACGATCTTCAGTACCTCCTACAGCCAGATAGCATGGATTTCATCTATCATGTTAGCTGTCATGTATGCAGGAGGTAAGACAAAATATAAGCTTTGCTTAAATGTCTTGCCATTCTTTAGATTGACATCTTAAGGCTATATTTTTTTGTAGAACAGTACACCTTTCTTCTAAAGTTGTTTTTGAGGAGGGATATTAAAATTATTTTGAAATAAAGTGTTATTCTGTGGTATTTTTTAGTCCATACATCTCTTGATGTTCTTGTTCTTGTGTGCTGTTATGTTGACCAAACCATAACATTTTCCATTCATCTTATAAACATTGATAAATTTTATTAGACTGTTAAATATTTAAAGTGTTGGTATAATTCTGTACTATTCAATAACTATATGGCATGTGCAAATAAAGTGTAGCCTTTTAAATTACTATTTTATGATTGAGACTCATTAAAGAAAGCAAAAATCTTAAACATATAAACTCTCAACCTATTTATAAAATACATGGAAATTAAGAGACTTTAGAAAAACTGGAGTGCTGCTAGTCATTTGTGAAAAAGATGTTTATCTTAATGTCTTAATACTTGTTTTTAAAATGTATTTATGACCCTAAATAAAATTGACCATAGTGAACATACCATGGCATTCCCACATTTTTACCATAGTTTTGTCTTGGTTTCTTATAGTTTTAATGTTTCTTTTCTGTTTGTTACTACACTGCACCACAAGAAGACCAAACAGTATAACATTTTTCTTACAATAGTACATTATGGATTCCTTATGGTTGAGGTTAGAAAACAGAGAGAATGTTAAAATCAAAGGAAATCACAGCAAAAGTAAGCTATGACCAAAATATAAGTATGAAAAAAACTGATAATTTTGCCTTTGTAAAATACCATGTCGATTGTCAAGTACTGATATTAGTAAAGGGAAGAGTGAGAAAGCAAACAAGATCAAATCACTCAGCAGAATACAAGTAACTTACTTCTTTGTGTAGGAATCTTATTGTCACTTTTCCTGTTTGCAATTTTCTTTTAGTTTTTTAAGTCTTACAGTTCTCAATTGGGATTTTGTATGATATCTTTATTCCTTTCACACCAGGATTCATATACTGTACATCTTAAAATGTTTTAATTTTATAAATGTATAGTTCCCCAGTTAAACCTTTTAAAAGCCGGTTACAGATAACTTATCAGTCTTGTGTGTCTGCATCAGAAACATCTGAATCATTTGAAACATCTAAATGCTGAATCAGATGCTGAAGTTTGAAATAAATAACAGGCAGACATTTAGATAAGAAGCCTTATATTTCCTTAGAAAACGTAGCACTAGAAGAACTGTTGCTATCAATGGAAATAGAAGTAAGAGAATTAATAGAGTGCTGTACAAATTGTGGAATGCTTTTGACAAAAGTACTGTAAATATTAGGTCATAAAATGTTAAAAGGAAAACAAACTAACTTTTGCCTATCAGTTAACTAACTGATAGCTTTTAGTGTACTAGGAAGAAAGTAGTACACTAAAGTACTAAGGAAGGTAGGGAAAGCTCATTTCCTTTCTTCCATAGTTATTTAACAGTGACCTTATATACAGTATTTTATATCAGGCTATTTATCAGACCAGTTATGACTATCACCAGGGATAGTTTCAGTGCTCTGGAAAAGTATTCAGACCCTTTCTATTGTCTCCCATTTTGTGAACTTACAAAATGATGTCTACACTACTGTATATATATATTAATTTTGTAAAGTCCAAATGCTGAAACTGAAGACTTCTAAGGGTAAACTAAGTTACAGTAAATGTTACAAAAACTGAAGAGACAAAACTGAAATATGTTTATCGAATTTGTATTCTGGCACATGAATTCAATATTTGGTGAAAGCACCCTTGGCAGAATATACAGCTGCAAGTCATTTTGGGTAAGTCTCTACCATATTTGCACACTGCACTATAAGCAATACATGCCAGTTTTTTTTTTTTGGCAGTTCTGCTCAAGCTCTCTCTACTTCTTTGTGGATTGTTTGTGGACATCAGTTTTCAAGTCTTTCCACAGATAATAGTCACACAGAAAAAACGTCAAGTTATGACGTTGACTGAGCCATTCAAGGACATTCACTTGCTTATTCTTAGGCTACTGTAATGTACAGTAGCTTTGACCTTGTACTTTGAATTATTGTCCTATTGATATGCAGGTTTTTGCTCCGGTTTTAAGTGTGCTGTGGTCTGAGATGGGTTACACTTAGTCCATTTTTACTTCAGTCCCAATAAACTTCTGTCCTAACAAACCTTTACCTCTCCAGATGGAAAGTATTATCTTGATGTAGCCACCATTTGACTGTAGGAATGGTGTAAGCTTAGAGATGTGCTATGTTGGGTCTGACTAAAGTAAAGCTTGGCTTTTAGACTAAAAGTTTCCCATTTCATCTCATCTGACCTCAATATCTTGTGACACATTTTTGCAGGGTCACTTAGGTGCTTCACTGCAAACTTCATGTGGGATATTAGAAAGGTTTTCAAAGCCTGGCTGCTCAATTTGGGGGGGGGTAGTCTAATCTAAACAGTGTCTGGTTGGCACAGTACACCTTCCATTTCTCGATTATTGAGTAGACTGTGCTCACAGGCTGATACAGCATATTCAGAGATTTCAATATTTTCTATAAACAGTTTCTGTGCCTTTCAGTGACTTTATATCTTGCTTTGAAAGCTACTTAATCATTGTGGTTCATTCTTTAATTGAAATTCACTGTCTGACTAAGGAATCTCACAGAGACAGGTGTTGTTTTTCTATATTCATGAAAAACACTATTTTTGCAGTGAGACAGATACAATTCTATTAATTGTGTAACTTGTTAAGATAATTTTGTGGTACTTAAATACATTTATGTTTTCCACACCAAAGAATTTGAATGCTTATGCCACCATATCTTTTCTGTTTTTTTCCATATCAATAATATATTTGTTTCTCTTTTTATTTCTTGCTTTTAGTATGTGGAGTAGGTTGTGTACATAACAAATATTAGTTTCCACTTCAAAGTGTGATGACTGTACATTTTAAAGAAACAAACTCTGAAAACTGTCCAGGGATCTGAATGCTTTTGCAAGGCACTGTACTAGCAGAGTGGCCCAAGGTGAACTTGTTCATGTTATATATAGAGCAGCAGCTGATAAGAACTTGCTGTCATTCAAAAGAACAGAGTGGAAATGTTTGCCAGATGCTCAGACATCCATCTCATATCTACATGTCCTGTGACTCTTTAACCCCAAAGAAGCTTTCACCTGGTTAATTAGATACATTTCCACACTACAGGGGTATTTTTATAACACCTTTTTTATATTTTAAACTTACTTTCTGTAAGTATCTGATGATAATATAAACTGATAGTAAATAAATATTGATAGCTTATATTGATGGACATTTTAAGAACTCAGTTCTGAAATTAAAATGTATGAGCATACATTACCTTAACATTTTGGCTTCTGACTGTTAATTCCCTATATATCTACTGTACACATTTTTTTCTCTCTTTGAACTCTGGCCTTGCTACAGCCCCTCAAACAAGGCTCTCAAACCTGGGAGACTGTTATCTGTTCTATTGATGTTGGAATCATTTCACTTGCTCTGTAAAATCATGTCTTAAAACTCATTTTCATACTCTAGTTGTTATTTTACCTGATTTGAGTATACCTGTTTTTTGTTGTTTGCTTTATTGTAAAACACATTGAGATGATACATCACGAAAAGACACTTTATAAAATAAAGATCATAATTATTAAATTATTATTTTTTTATATTTAGACTAACCTACCTAGCCTTGTACTGTAATTCAATCAAAACTGTTGGCTTCTTTTAGGAAAAATCTGGGAGCATTCATTAGGTCAATCAAGTTCAAGTTAAATACTTTATGGCAATAACAAATACTTCAATGGAACTTGGTTTGGTTTGCTCACACATTTCAAAGACATGCAATACATATATACGTAGAACTAATAATAAAGAGTATCCACCCAAAACATCTACATATACCATCCTGCTCACACCAGTAATTAGATAAATAACACTGAGGTCAGATAAAATAACAATGAGCTGTGCAAAACTTTTAAAATAAAAGCGTGGAGTTCATTCACCTCACAGCCTATGGGTAGGTATAGAATCTAGTAGTCCTTATCTTGATAGGCCTAAGCTGCTTACCAGAGTGGAGGAAAGTAAACAAAAGTTGACCTAGTGATGCTGGAGACGATGGAGCCCAGGAACTTAAAATTCTTATTGACATTTATTTCCAAGTTGTTTAGGGTACACCATCCAAATAAATAAACTGCTTAATTCCTGTATACTGACTCATTGTTATAATAATAATAATTGATTACACTTATATAGTGCTTTTCTGGACACTCTTTCCTGCTGTTCTTTATGTTGAAAAATCATCTTACGTCATGTTCTTGATTGTTAAAGTGTTGCTAGTTTGACCCCACTGGCTGTCTAGGAGCAGTCCACCGCATGCTGTTTTTTTTGCATCAAACCTGCAGTAGAATTCACTCAGTTTGTTTGGGAGATAGGGAATGTCTCTTAGAGCAGTTCGCAAAAGCTAGGGTGGGGTGTTACCTTAACTAGACAAGTCATGCCTCACGTCCTATATATCACATTTATTAGGATCTGACCAAACTAATGAACCACAAATTGGCTGCAAGGACTAAGTAAATTAGATTCTTTTAAGTGTTTGTGGAACTATCAGTTGTCTTTAGACTTTTTAATGGGAAAATATGTTTATTGTTTCCTTTCCAAAATTCACTATTGCTTGTCACTACCAACCTTTACATTAAACTGCATCAGACCATCAGCTCACACATACAGTACATGTTTGATTTTCATGACAGCATAATAAAAGCCCTTAGGCAATACTACATAATAATTTAAATATACACCTGACAACTAAATGAAATGCTATACCACACTAGACACAATTCACTTTATATTCCTTAACATTATGTGATAAAGTGTATGGCATAATTATTGCAATATTGCTTCAATTTAAGTATTAAGAAATATAATTGGTTTTAAAGAAAACAATTTTCCTCTGGCACAT